GATAATTGCGACGTATAAGATATAATAAGAGTTATAAGAGTTATGTGAAATATTTGACTTATTTGACTCACCATGTTCCAAATGACGATACAAGTGCTAAAATTACAAAGGCAATTATCCAACCAAAGTAAGGTGTATCAGTAATATTCACTCCGATATAATGATTAGCAACAGTGTAGGCATTTACTAAATCCACTACATAAAGAACAATGACCATTAAAAATAAAATAGATACCTGTAATAATATAAAATATGAATTAATAAAATAGAATATCAAGACAGAACGAATGTCAGGTAAATATCGTTAGTATATAACTATCTGTAATCTAATATCTCTAATTCAATTCAGCAGCACTATACAAATTTCATACTCACAAAAGTGCACCAACAGAAACAGACACGAACGCAGTTTCTAATTTTTTGAACTTTAATACGCTGTTTTACATTACTGTTCAAATTGTTTCTTCCGATTCTATTACCATCGTCTAAACCCGTATTAATGGCTTGTGTTTCATCTATTATGTGTATTATGTGGAAAACAATTTGTAATTACTTTCGAATAATGGGTGGAATTCAGGGCTGTACTTTAAAATACAAACTTGCAATGTCAAGGACAATATTTTCTATAGGATACACATTTGGATCATCATCCTGCATTTCAGAATCTTGTCCATAGGGCTTGTTAGGAATAGGTGGAAGAGGACGATTATCCTTTTCCTCCACATAGTGCATATTAATTGAAGTGGACTCCTGATGAAAATTAGACATCGCGTAAAGTACTGACACAATAATTTACAGATATTATAAATATATTTTATTTTTTTTGTGTAGCATTATTGTTATACGTATAAGAGAAAAACAACCCGGAATTGTTGATTTCCATAAAGTGAAATTTCCGGAAACCTAAATTCCGGTTTTTCGTTTTGCGACACTTATAGAATGTTTCTGTGAAATTATGTATAACTTTTTACTTCATGAATGTGATCGTAATAAGTAACAGTTATAAACTACTTTTAATTGTCTATTTATTTCTTCTAAAAGAGAAATATAATAATGTCAAATGAACCTGTACAAGCCGAAGGGACATCTCAATATCTTGGAAAGCAATGGTTAGAACGAGCGATTAAAGAAGGGCTTATTAGATGCATTGATTATGGTAGGTTTCAAAAAATAAAAGATAAAAGCGAAGGTGGATTCGGTAAAGTCAGTAGTGCCGAGTTGATATCAGGTGGTATTAAATTAACCGTGGCCCTAAAAAGTATAAAGTCCCTTGAATATTCTCAAAATGATGATAATGAAAAAGGTTACAAGGAATTTATTAAAGAAGTATGCGATAATCTTGAGATTTTATCTAATATTATGGAAATTAATTCTCTTACGAACT